AACCAGGACGCACCAAGTGGCAGAGACGCTGACGCAGGAGGCCGCTGGGAGGGGGGGCCACGTGGGCGATCCGCGTGCCCGCGATCGAACGGCTGAGGTCCGTTCCCGCGCGCACGGACGACCTGGATGCACTCCCTCCCAAACGGAACGGCCACATTCAAACACGATCAGACGGTCCAAAGTGAATCGCGATGGACGGTCCAGATTGAATCGCAATGAATGCTCACTCCCTATTTAATCCCGATCGGATGGTTCAGATCAAATACGATAGACGGCCCAGATCAAAAGCGGATGGATATAAATAACCCTCATCCGCACCAAACCCTAACCCTAGCCGCCAGAACCCCTCGTTGGAGAAGCCAACCCAGCCGCTGGGGAGCCGACCGCTGCCACCTGCCGCCGCACCAGAATCCTTTCCAACCGCCAAAAAAGGTAAAAACTCCCCCTTTTGCACGAAATTCAATTTTAAGCTTACCATGGCCAAATCGGAGTGAAAAGACCAGCCAATTGGCCAAAAAACACCGACGAATCCCGGCGCCGCCGCCGCAGAGAATTTCACATTTTCTCGTAAAATTTCTACCATTGTGATCACCATTTTCTTCTCTATAGGTTAACCGAAGCAAAATACCCAACCTAACGTGAGTCGGAAGAGCTGCCGCACCAGAGAGCCCCGCCGCCGGTGAGTTTTAGTTTTTCGTATTTTTTCGACCAACTGAGATCCTTTAACGTGTTTGCTCGCAGGAATCGATGCAAAATCAGTCAAATTCGATTGAAAATAGCCGAAAACGGCCGACCCGAGGCTAACTACCATCGCCAGAGCACGGCGGAGCCGCTGTGCTGGATTTCTAAAATTGGCCGAGTAGGCCCTATGACTGATTTTAGTTTTATTTGGAATATTTGTAGGTACTATTAACGTGTTTCAATTTTCGGTGAAAAATTCAGAGAACCTAGGAACTGCCCGTAGGTAAAGTAAACCGTTTAGCTTTTCGGGCGTCAAATCGAGTAAGGATCCCTCACCTTACTCCCTATCATATAACTGAATATTAAATAAATAATAATATGATATTTTGTATAACTTTAGAAAATGTGCAAAATTGATTACAGATTGCTAATGGAGGCAGAATCAGAGATTCTCTACTGTTGTTTTGTGGATTGTTTTACAGTTTAAATGCATGATAGTACCTTATTAATTGATTTTATAGCTTTGAATGCATATATAGTTTATTTTATGTGTTTACTGCTGAATCGAGAAAAAAGAATGTTAAACGGTAAAAATTGTGTGATGAAATTAATAGATGAAATAACAGCCTTACTGGATATCTTGGAAGATGATGGACGGACCGGGTACGTAGGGAACCTTACCGTGAACGTTGTCTCATACCGGACGGGATATATGGACGACCTCTTTCACCCTTATACCGGACGAAGTATTAAAGTTTGATAAATTGGCACTCATACCGGGCAGGGTATGAGAACGGCCCATAATTGAGAATGATAAATGAAATAGTTCATGTGTAAGGGGGGCATCCCTATGAGCTCCCATGGATACCAGCATGCTGGTGAAAAGGGTGGTAGTTATTGTTTGGTTTATTGATAATAGATATGGATTTATAACATGTACTATGATGGCTGATTATGCATGAGATATTGGTCTGTATGATATTATTGTTTTTACAAGTTGTTTTCATAGATTTCACGATAGTAAGTGAACGAAAAATAATTTTATGATTGATAAATGAATTTGCTAAATTTAATGTTCCATTAGTGGTTTTCGATTTTATACCAATTTTTACTTTTGTGTCGGTGATATAGTATGATATCATTACTGGATTAGTGTAGCTTATCCTTTATTTAACCATTTCAGATCAAGAGAACTAGGTTCTAAATCCCAATCCGTAAGAAGATTGCGAGTAAGTGCTATATATTTTCTATTTTCCATTTATTTCCTTATTTTTTGTGTTTCTTTCAAAGAATGAATTTTGTAATGTTGTTTAGTACTTTTAAGTTATTGTGTAAGGAATGTAAATCTTAACCTTTTATTTCACTTCCGCACTTAGGTTATTATATATTTTCTTTGACTATTTTCGAAGCCGTTATATATATTTATAGTAAAAATCATTAATTTAGAGCGAAACACAAGTTCTATCTCGTTTATTATTATAAGAGTGTCTAAAATTTTTTTAAAAAAAATTATTTGATTTTTATGTCAATATATCGATAATTTTGACCAACATTAATCACAAGAAATAAATTAGATCTTTTGATATTTTAAAATGCTACAAGTAATATTAACCTTACTATTTATTAATTAATTTCATCTCATGTGACAATTTGATGAAAATAAACAACAACATGATAAACAAATAAGTGGCAATAAAAAAATGTAAGAAGAACATAAAATATGCACATATATTTATTGTATTTTAAAACTTTATTATACCAAATAAAATAATAAAAGAATTGGCTGTGATTATTTTTTGTTTTTAACAAAATATGAACTTAGTTCTAATTATACTAAATTTTAAAGATTTCCATCTAATTTGTCATTGTTTTAACTAAAACATAGTATATATAGTTCTAAATTTTAACAATGTTTAAACTAAATGATCTATTTTATTCATATTACTCTTATTTTAATAATTAAATAAATATAATTAATTTATTAATCTTAATATTTATTATTTTTAATGAACGACTATTTTTAGTAATACTTTTAAAATTTATAATACAAACTATAGTCACTCAAACACCACTAAATGGTTTAAATTAATTTTTTTGCAAAAAAATGACATTTTGCATAATTACCGAAATGATAAAAAGTGGGCGTCGATGCAAGATAAAAAAAATAAAACAAAATTAATATATCGTGTAGCTATAATAAAAAATGGAGGTCATACTTTAAAATACCATATGAACTAGATGATAAATTGCATAATTTTTCAATAGTTAATGAAAATTAAAATACAAAACAACAGACATAATGATATGTTAAATATAGAGACATTATAAATTCGGTAACCAATTCTTATAGCCTTAAATTATAATGCATTTTAGTGTTACTTTTTAAGTCTTTATAAAATTACTGACCAATTATTTATTTGTAACTTATTGTAATTTAGTCCATGTAATTTCAATTACATATTCCATGGTTACAATAGACGTTTTACTCTATAACACATTAGCTCAATGATGAAATTTCCTTATCTCATCTCTCATACAATAAATATTTAATTCCTAAGACAGTAAATCAACGATCCAACCTCTCTTAACATTATATTAAACAGGCTTTCCCTTTTACTCAATTTGCCCACCTACAACATGACATTCTCCGACTGTATACGCTATAGAATATAAACTGATGGACTCTTTCTTAGAATCCGACTGCAAAGCAGATGAAAATAAATATTGAATACATATATATATATATACACGAGGAAATCATATGCAAAAAACAAATAAGTATTGAGACAGTACATAGATTGGTCCAGCATTATGAAACTGCATGGATATACTATATTTCTCCTCCTCTACGACAGTAAGTTGTGTTTTACCATCTTCCATTTTCAGCAACTGTCTTTTCTTCAATACCATTTCCTGAGGAGGATGCCGATTCCATTCTTATATTCTCAAGCTTCTCCTTCAATCCGGTGATATCTAAAGCAGAAAGGATATCTTTTCTGATCTCTGCTTCCATTTTTTCTACTTTCTCTGAACTAGACCCTCTAGCTATCTCTGCCTTCAACTCCTCTATTCTCCCACGAAGACCTGAAACGTTTATCGCTCTCTCGATTTCATGGGAAATCTCTTTGTTCACATTTGCTATCTTCTCATGCAATTCTGAAGGCAGAGTTGACATCTTCCTGTTAGTCAACCCAACAATTTCCAGGTTAGCTGACTTCAAAACCTCCATCAGCTCTTTTTTAGTGTTAACTACTTCCTCTAGGAGATCCTTATCCAATGAATCTCCTTCTGACACCTTCTCTTGAGCAGCTCTCAGATGTTCCAGTTTTGTCTTAACCTCAGCTGGAACTTGCTTATTAATTTCAGCTTTCAGTTTCTCACTTCTCTCTTTCGCCTCAATGACCCTGCTAACCGTGTTTAGCTTTTCAAGCTTCTGTTTTAAACCCAGATAAGCCCCTGGCCGCAACAAATTTTGTTTAAACTTCTGCATTATTTTCTCCACTTTCGCCTGCAAATTGGGATTAAGTGGTTGATCTGGGAGTCTTGATAACTCCAACTTAAGTGATTTGAGTTCCTCTTGCAAGCCCATTGAAATGAATGCTTTAGTAATCTCCTTATCTACATCTTCCTTGAGCTTTTCAATTGCCTGGGTAGTGATTGGATCATATGGCACCTTTGCATCTAAAATCTTCCCTTTTAGGTTCTCAAGCTCTGACTCTAAATCAGCAGCCTTAAGCATGTTGACCTCAGAAGGCTTCATGTTCCGTTTTCTCTCCGGGTCCACAGGGATGCCTTCCTGGAATCCCCCAATTGACCGAAATTTTAGCATCCTGTGGCGGAGCAGGTCTTCCGTGTCCATATTTGTCAGTTCCTATGTTCATTCAATATTGTATTTAACCAATGGATAACTGGGAAAACCATGCAAATTAAAGATTGATGAACCAAAAGATGAAGACAGCACTTACAAAAAAAAATGAATCAGTGGGATTTAAAAAGAAAACTCCTTTTCTCTAAGCTTGACATTATGCAATCCATTTTAATGGAAGAAAAGGGTGATGCTACAAAGAATGAGAGAGTAAACTATTACTGTCCAACTGTTCCAGTAAAAGAATTTTTTGTTCTCCTAAAGAAATTCCAGGGAAGGGGACAGATTCTGACAAATAGATAATCGCAAGTTTTTGCCACATCACAAGATGCAATCTCATATGAGAAATGCCTCCCACAGAAACATATATAACTAGTATGAGAATGCAAGAAACCAGAATGGAAGTTATTCAATTATGGAATAAAATCTGAATCCCCAGATGCCTGCAAATAAGATTTAACTTTTAAAATTATACTTTATAATTAAATTTATTTGCAATTTTGGGTTGGTATCTTATGAAGTAACACTTACTTCCATGGCCTGAGAGACTGCAAGCTTAATTTGCTGGGAAGTCCAGAAAGGATCTGTATGTGCACCACCTAGAGGCTCCTGTGAATGATAGAAGCTATGTCAATGGTAACAAAAAGGGAGCACTAATGATACCAGAAACTTAAGAAGCTATAATTTTTTTTTTTTTGACATAAAAAGTATGAAGTGTAAAATTAATATAGGCACCAAAAGAGTCCCACTGATGTACCAAAGAATTTACATATATACCAACTTGTCAATAAGGTCCCTTAAATCTTCCATCAACTGTGGAGAATGACCCAATAACAAAAAAATCAAGAATTTGGAATTATCTATTTTTAAGCAATTATAATTATTGTTCTATTAGAATATGAGACAGTAGAGCTTGTATAATTTATGAATAAATTGTCTCAGTATCTATTCATGTGTAATAAGTATCCTATATACAGCATGTTACAAGTGGTAGAGTCCTAGTGTTACAATATTCTAATATTACAGTACAAAAGTTAGTTTTATAACTGAACAAAAGAACAAGTTTATTTACTTCCAGGAAGAGCTTGTTATGTCTTTCTCTTATCTTTAGTTATCCCTTTAGAACTTGGGCACTGCAACTCCATGGAATAATTTCGAAAATGACCAAAGATAGTATATTCTTTTATCCCATATATGAAGAGTAAAATACAGTTAAATGGCTTTCTTAACTCAGTTCCTTTAAAATATTTGTCTAAGATTATTGGATTCCATGAAAAGCAACAGATTTTGGAGGCAAATTTAAACTCTTCACATCTATTAGTAAATATTTGACATTGCAATGATTGCACGTGTTCCCATCAGTTATTTGTTATCCCAAAATAGTTGAAGTTATTAATAGTTAAATTCTAGGCATTACTCAATGGGTTACTGCATCATTTGACAAAATGAAAATCTATAAGATAACCAAATATCACAAAGATTAGCTGATACAGAATTCCTATTCTGCCAGCCAAGCTTTAATCAATATAGAAAAAGAAGAGCCAATTCTACTTTTTTATTGGGAAACAGTTCCTACAATTCACCTGTAATCTTAAAATGGCTAATCTCAAAAAACAAATGTTGGAAAAATCAGAAACCACACATTTCAAGAAAATAGATAAAGATTGAAGGGCTTACAGGTATTATACCATCAGCAATTTTGAGTCTGTAATGTTCTTGTGCTGTTATTCTTAGTTTTTCAGCAGCCTGTACAAATTAAAACAAAAATATGAATAAGGAAAGTGGCCTATTTTCTCAAATCTGACTAAAGAAAGTTACCTTTTACCTTAGGAGCTGCCTGGGAAGATTTCCACAAGATTGCGGCACATGCTTCAGGACTGCTCAGAGAAACAGTGTAATACCCGTAATTAATTTTAAAAATTTAAAATTAACGTATAAAATATAATTTTTTTAGTTTATGAATTTTATTTAATGTAAAAATTAAAAAAAATAGGTGAAAAATGAAATTGAAAACAATTTTTAAAAAAAATTGTACAAATTTGGGTTCTGAGAGTGTTCTTGAAAGAAAAATCGGAAATTAAAGGTCAAAACGCAATTTAAGAAAAATGTATCACGTAAAACAGCTCAGTCAGCAGCCCCGACAATTTGGAGCGCGCTGCGTGGCAAGGTATGCTAACGCGGTGCCACGCGGGAGACCACGCTGGCAATCTACATGCCCGCGAATAGACGGTCCGGAATTGTTCCCGCGCGCGTGAACGATCCGGATCCGTTCCCTCCTCAAGCGCGATCATATGGTCCAAATTCATTTCTTATTTAAATGTGATCAGACGGTCAAGATCAAACGTGATGGACTGCCCAGATTAAAAAGAGACAAATATAAATATCTCACTTCACATCGAACCTTAACCCTACCCGTCAGAGAAGAACCAGTCGCCGGGAGAGAGAGCTGACCGCAGTCCGCCGCCGCGTTGTAGCCACCTCTGACCGCCAAAAGAGGTAAAAAAAAATTCATTCGCTCGAAATTCGATTTTAAACACCCCATGACTAAATCGGAGTAAAAGAACTAGCGGATGAACCGGAAACCGCGGGTAAAGCCCGGCAGCTCCGCCACGGAAAAAATAAAAAACCACATCTGATGAGGCCATTCCTGATTCCCGTTTCGTGCGATTTTTTCACCATTGTATTCACCATTTTGTTTCCCACAAGTTGACCGAAGAAAAACACCCAACTGCGAAAGTGAACCGGCGGAGCCGCCGCATCGGAAAACCCCGTTGCCGATAAGCTTCTGTGTTTCGACTTTTTCGGCCAACCGAGATCCCTTAACGTGTTTTCTTGAAAAGATGAGTACAAAACCAGCCAAAACTGGCCGAAAACAGTCAATCGCGGCGGCGGCCAGAATTTCAAAATTGGCCGAAAGAGAGTTTTAACACCGGCTTTGGGTTTTTTGGGGTATTTTTAGGTGCTTGAAACATGTTTTAATCGAAAAAAATTCAGGGAACCCAGTGACCGCCAGTAGGCACTGTTGAAAGTTTAACATTCGGACACTGATTCGAGTAAGAATCCCTCACCCTATTCCTTGTTACGGAATTGAAGGTTAATTATAAATAATTTGGTATTTTGTACAATTTAGAAAATTTCGATAATTAATCACAGATTACTAATGGAACCAAAATCGATTATTATTCATTGTTGATCCTGTTTGATTGATTTTATTGTTTCAAATGTATAATATTACATTGGAGTTGGTATAATGATTCAGTTGCACTTCCTTGATGCATTTATTGCTTGTTTTGCGTTATTTACAGTTAAATTGTGAAACTGAAAATTAAATGTAAACGAAAAATTATTTGATTAAGTGAGTGAATGAATGGTAACCTTACTGGATATCCTGAAAGATGGTGGACGGACTGGGTACATAGGGAACCCTACCGTGAACGTTGTCTCACACCGGACGAAATATCGAGAATTAGTATTTTGACGCTCATACTGGATGGGGTATGGGGACGATCCGTTTCACTCTTATACCGGACGGGGTATTGAGAAATAATATTTCTGGTGCTCATACTGGACAAGGTATGAGAACTACCGGTTAATTGACAATGTTGAATAAGGATTTACGCGTAGTAAGGACATATTTATGAACCCCCATGGACACCAGTAGACAAGTTAAAAGAGAAAGTTGTTGTTTTGATTAAATGAATATGAGATTATGATATTATTTGTGTTATTGTCTTTATAGGTCAGTTTTGAAAATTTTGCTACGGTAAATATGTAATAAATGATTTTATTTATGATAAATGAATTTATTTCAATTAAAAAATCTATTAGTTATTTTCATGATTTTTACTAACCTTCATTTTTGTATTGGTGAGTAGTGTGACATTCTTACTGAGGTAGTGTAACTCACTCTTTCATTAACCGTTTCAGATCAAGATAAATAAGATTCAAATTCCGATTCATAAGAGGGTTGCGAATAGAATGCCCACCTGTTTACTTTTCATTTATTTCTTTGATTTTTCGTTTTTTTTTTAAAAAGGTCATTCGCGTAACTCTATTAAGTATTCTGAATTATTGTGTAAGGAATGTAAACACTAACCTATTATTTTGCGTCCGCATTCAATTTATAATTTATTTTTTTTTAAGTTTCGAATCGTTACAAATAGTCAGAACAAGCATTTATTATAGAATTCTCGATGTCATTGAAAGTTAGAGATAAACTTACTTTTTTCGCTAAACATTATCGATAAGTTAACTATGGCAGCGTAGAAGCTATAGGAACGATGAAAGGGAAGATTTGGAACAGGAAAAACCATTTACAACTGAACAAGAATCAGATCCTTGAACCAGTCACATATGAAACTGAGAAATGCTCAGCAGCCAAAAGTACTATAATAGATGAGTAGGAATGCAGCTGTTATCCCTATTTTGTTGTTTGACAATGCAGATCCATTTAGAAAATAGATATATCAATCATATTGGGCGTAAATCTGTTTATTTTAAGAGCTCACAAATCCTAACTTTGATTTAAACTTGTGGATTTTAGATTTTAAGCAATAAAGGCAAAAGCAGAAAGCAAAAAGAAAAAAAAAAAAAAAAAAAAAGAGAAATTACTACCTTGCAACATAGAAAGCGGAGTTTTCAAGCATAAATAATTTGTTGGCACAAGCTATGGCTAGAGCTCCACCAGAACCACCTTCACCAGTCACAACTGATATAATAGGCACTTTGAAGCCAAACATAGCCCTCAAATTATAGGCTATGGCTTCACCCTGCATAGAATAAAATACAACAGACTCATACATCTATAAAATATCTGCACCAAATATTATAAGAGCACTACAGCTTACAGGTTAGAGAAAAACAACAAACCCACTTGACCAAGCTCCTCAGATTTGAGATCAGCAAATGCCCCGGGAGTGTCAACAAATGTTACGATAGGAAAACCATGATGATCAGCGTACTTCATCATACGTAAGGCCTTCCGGTATCTGTTTGTCACAAATTTCAGACAGTTATCTCAAACTCAATGCAGTGAAATAAATCAAGAAGCTCCAATCAAATCCCAAATTTCAAATGAATGTGGAATTATCTAAACATGGAAATGAAATTCTCTTTGATATATAATCCAGATTGATTAGACATTTATTCAAAGAAAAAGCCCAGATCGAAGTTCCAAAGATTGATTAAGCACTGAAGAATCTCCCATACGATAATATAACTAAAAGATACTCAAAACATACCCATGAGGAGTTGGCATTGCAAAATTGCGGGAGATGTTCTCCTTTGTGTTCCTACCTTTCTGATGGCCTATAAACATGTAGTTCTTGCCATCAATGCTCCCAATACCAGTTACAATAGCTGGATCATCATACCCTGCACGATCTCCATGGAGTTCCACCCACTATAAGATAGGGGCAGAAAAAGGTAAGAAAGGACAAATAATTCTGCATTTATCTATTATGAAAAGGGTGCTTAGTGCTTCACTTTGTTTTCATAAGACAAACAAAAGGGCAGATGTATTTGGCTACCTTTTCTGTGATATTCAATATATGATCAAGAACTGTTGGTCTGTTGGGATGCCGGGCAATGGATAGTCGTTGAATGGGTGTTAAATGTGTGTACAAATCCTTTAGTGCCTGAATATGAAGCAGAAAAAATTAGAGGCATGGCTATATTATGACCAAAAGAAAAACAATCAACAATTTGAATTTTACAAAAACTTTCAACTAGGATTATAAAGCAAAAATGAGCTCCATAATATCTTCCCAAGAAGAAAATATGATTGTAATTTAATCGTACAACAGATACTCTAAATTCTAAGTAAAGCAGCTATTTAGAACTTCGAAGCAATCAAGTAATAAGACAAGTACAGGAAAATTGAAAAATTCAAAAGGCCCAGAATAAATAATAGTGACTTCAAACTAAATCAGTACAAACAACTCTAACCCATGAAATTACCTGTTGATACTTGTTTTCCAAAGCACCTATTTGGTCACTAAAGTCTAGGCCAGTCTCATCAGCCATTCTCCTCACCTGCATTAAAGATATAAATCTAAATTTCAAATATACACATAGAAGATGTTCATGGTAGCTGCCTCATGAATGCTTTACATGTAATATCATAAACTACATTGATAAAATAGTGGAGATATGATGGTAGATGGTAAGATTTTTTAATAGAAAAATGTATTGATTTTGAAAACTGCTAAGATTTTTTTATAGAAAAATGTATTGATTTTGAGAACTGCCTTCCCTGTTAGATGTTATGAATGCTCAAATTTCTTAGCTCTATGCTATTCATGACTACTAACAAATATCTTTGCCAGAATCAGGGCAAATTAATTAGAAAATCTCCACAATATGCAGAACACAGTCTGACAAGTACCAATAAAACACAAGCAAACTAACCTCAATAATCTTTCTCTCCAGATCAACAAGTGGCTTTTCAAAGGGAAGAGTCACTGGTTTTGGTTTATCAGACAGAGGCTTGAAGGAAGAAAGATAAGCCAAGTGTCCACTGGTGATATTTGGATCAATATCATCAGGCCAAGGGTAATCATGCTTCTTAGCTTTCTTCAATCTTGCAACTACACGAAACCTGTTATTACTTCTACTACCATGGCCTTTCAAAGTCCTTGCCCAGTATCCATTTACTCCTCTAGATGAAATCTTAGGTAAATCACAACCAAAAATATCCTTGCTAAAATATGAAGGTAAGCCAAATTCAAAACCCCAATTTTCACTTCCTTTCCTACAATTTCCAGCTACCAATGACAAAGTAGCCATCTCAATAGTCAACATACAATCAAGAAATGAGTAATTCTGTCATTGACATCTTCATGTGCTGCATTCCCTGCATTTTGCATTCCCATTAACACTCAGAAAAAGGAAAACATCTCAAAATCATTTCAAATGCATACTACTCTGTTTGCTCCTTTTATTCAATTATCATAGAAGTCTAAATCAAGATGTTGATATTTTGATAACATATACGATGTGTTTGGATACTGGATGCAATAAATTCTACGTAGGGAAATTATTTGATGCATTTAAGTTTTATATTTATTCTTTCAACATTCAAACCCAAATAATTTTAAATGAAACTAAAAAAAAAAATACATTTGAAATTTCATCAATATACATTTAATTTAGAAAATAATTATGTTTGCATATAAACATATTACTTGACATACAAACAAAGAACCATCATTTCATTAAACTGAGATGGCACCTAAAAATATCATAAAACATCGAATTCGTGATTCATTCAAATATAGAAATTCAGTTAGAACTAATTCCTCCTAAAATTCATGTAGAAATAAAATAACTTCATTGTTCATTTGTTTCATTCATAGCCACAGTGAAATCCAAAAGAATCATTTACCCCCAGGAGCCTAAGCCTCTCATTCATTTGAATGAAAAACACCAATCCAGGAATCCAGAAATCCAATGCTCAGCATGTGGAGTAAAAGTTAGAAGTTAAGTTGGGTTATATTCGCAAATAATCTCCAAAACACACTCTGTTCTCATTCCTGTTTCACGTAATTAGAACTAAGACTATTGAACTTAATAAGAAACTGCAGCATCCTGTAATGCAGTTTTCCTAGTAAATTTGTCATTATCTTCACTAGAAAACAGAAGTCGGATTAACAAGAACCTCAGTCAATTGAAAATCACGTTTTATTTCTATAAAAAGAAATTCCAGGTAAATGTGCTCAGCTCGTACACTGAACTTAGACCAAGTTCTGGAACCTTAGAAGTCAGGAACGTCCCTGGAGCTCCCAACCATTAACTGCTAAAGAACTCGTCGCATTAAGCAAATTCTATCAAAAAAAAAAAAAGTATAAAAAAAAAGGAGAAAAAAGAGAGAATACCAGAATAGAGTACAATGAACCCCAAGTCAGCTCTAAATGAAGCTTGTGCGTCACGAATTAGGGTTTATGAGGAGCAAACAGAGGAGTGGGAAACCAACGGTTCATATATCGCTTCTCTGCTGCGTAAAAACGTCTTCCATCGATAGGAAGCATTAACATGCCATACATTCTCCTTTCACGCTTTGTGCGGTAATCCGAGTAAAATGGGAGGCCTCGTATCATGGTGAGAGGTGTAGGAAAGCTGTTATTGGGGCGTGATTCGCACGCGTGAATAAATAGACTGGGATTTGTTAGCCCGGTTGCTCAATCGCACGTCATCGTATATCTGGATAACAACCGGCGAACACGGGGGCCCCACAGGCATGTGGCCACGTCGGTTTCATTGCTTTAATTAATCCAAGCACATAAGAAAAATGTCTATCGCTAAAATTAAATAAATTGTATTAAATCACTCGGTGTTATAAACTTTTTTAATAAAAAAAGTAGTGACTAACTACAAAGGAGTATGCATATTCAAATAAGGATCTTATTTTAAGCATGCTCTTGTATTAAAATTATTTTTAATTAAATTTTTAAATAATTTTATTTATTATTATTATTATTAATTCTATTTAAATAAATTAAATTAAATTAAAATTATATATTATTACATAATAAATTATTATATTATATAATAATTATAAAAATTAAAATAAAATAATAATAATAAAAAAAAGGATTGGGGTGTTATACATGCTCACACCAAAAGAGTAAATATTATAATAATTTTTTTTTTAAAAAATATATATATATATATATATATAATCATATAAGCTTTCACCAATTAGCATATTATATAGGGGAAGGTAAAAATCTTATACCCATATGTCTTAAAATGACATTTACTTTGAATTTCTCCTAAATTTAATATTTTTTTATATTTATAAGATAGTAATACATTATTTATAAATATATTTGTTCTTACAAATAATAAAATATTAGTTTTTTTTTTTTGTAGAATCATTAATAATTTTGCACTATTACATATTGTGTTAACGTTGATTTTATTAACATTAAATGAAAAAATATTTTATTTTTGTTTTAGATGATATGCGTTGTTACATTGTCAACCAAACACATATTTTTATTTTTTTACCCAATTAAAATTTTAAAAATGTTGAGTTTTATATATTATAGTAAAATAAATATATCTCGAACTAAAAATAATTTAACATATGCTACTATTTGAATCTAAGTAACAAATAATTTTTTTAAAAAAATAACAAAACAATACAGGAGATGATTAACCAAATTTTGACATTTTCATCTCCAAATAAATTATGAATTCTTCATCTTTAATTTTTTAAGAACTCAACTATATCAAAATATGTCGTATTTTTATGATTTTAATCGAAAACATCTTTTTGTGAAATAAAATTTATTTCTATATATATATTTTTAATATTTTTAACGAATCCTAAAAATTTATCAATTAGATACTTTTACACAAAATATACATGAGACTAATATCTTTTTATATGTGATATTGATATTATATACACTTTTTTTTTATATATATTCTTTATAGTTTCTTCACTTCCAGCAAATATCATGATTTAAAATATATATATATATATTATTATGACAACATTTATAAAATTTATTCTAATTTTTGGCACCATGTCGCATCCACCTCTATGAGTATATGACCATGATCACACTTTTGTCAATGTCCAAAATTATTAATAATTATTGCATTAACTTAAGAAAAATGAGATAAAACCAACTGAATGAGATTTATTATTAGTTTGTCGTTTTATTCAGTCATAAAAAATGTAAAATTAATTTAAAATAATTTTTAAAATATTTATTTTGATAATATTATTGCAAGAACATCCTTGAGGCATGAAAAATAGAAAAATAATTTAGTTGACAAATCTTTATCAATAATATTTTATCTACTCTAATGTCAAAGATTTATAACATTTAAATAATTAGAACAATAAAAAAAATATAAGTTAAAATAAAAATTCTTTTATTTAATTTTCTGTATCTTTCAAAATGCATTACAATATAAAGATATAAGAAATCATAAATTAGTACAAAAATTAAATTAAAGTAACATTACAAATTAAATTGAATTCTGTTATTGAACATCCATAAATGATATCATAATTACGATAAATTCATAATACTTATAACTTTTTTTTTTTTATAAAAAAAAAAGAATTGGAAATGTTAAGTTGTAAATTATTATATGATTTACATGTTATGTTTTTTGAAAAAATTATTTTATCTACATCATTAACACATACATATAAACTATTTAAATATTTTAAAATATTGTTATTTTTCAGATGTTTAAATTTTAAAATTCTTGCTACGAGGAATAGAAAAAGAAATATATAATTTACTCAAGAAAGAACTTTTGGTACTTAAAAAATATATTATAGTTAATTTTTTAGATGAGACAGCAGAGATACAAGCAACTAAGCTCTTTGCCCTAGTTAAGCTTGAAATCAAGCAAAAGCAGTATAAGTAAGTTAGAGCTATTCCAAAAAAGAACAAGAAAGAAGAAAAGTTGAAATTTCTTATTACGTTCCAGATTGTCCAACGTTCAATACCCATTCCCTTTTGGTTCCTCAATACATACACACACACACACACACACACGCATACATGTCCATTACTTTATTGCATCTTCTAAACAGCTAGGAGATTTTGGTATTCTTCATTGGTTTGGTCATACAAATCGGAGAAATATACATAACATTCTTGGTTTTCTGGCAGCGAATTTACAATGACAATGTTCATTCCAAGGTGTACAACATATATGATCCAAACTCATATATGGGTTGAAGAATATTAGTTATTAAAGACAACACGGAGTCACATAAACCCCAGACTAAAGTTGCATCCATTCATATAGGATCCAAGTCCTGTACCTTGCAATTAGCACGTAACACAGCACAAGCCACGCTTTTCAGCTTCTGAAATGAAACAACTCCACCATAGACTATCAAGTGAGGCTTGATTTCTAAACTAAACATCATCTGAATGGCAACAATTTTACACCATCTAAATAGGTTTAACTTTCTTGTGTTTGGCAATTAGAGATACCAACATTTCTACGACCAGATTATGTCCCCCGAGAATTGGTTAACACTAAAATCACAATGGCAAAGGCAATGACGCAGTCTACACAAGCTTGAATAACAAAGTCGTAGGTTCATAGGTTCATAAGATATGACATATTCCACAACTACAGGCCAATTACAATCTGATTAACATGACTATGGATGATGTTTCATGTCGTCACCATGTTGAAGTGAAATCTGGAAAGCTGCTGCGGGATTGTGGAAATAACTGGACCATATCTCTGTAATAAAGCAACCAAAACAGCTCTTAGGTTCGGCCATAAAGATATTGGATGTAAAGGCAAAATGAATAAGTGGAACAGTCAAGTGGCACCAAAAGAACTAGAAACATATAATCAAAATACTTCTGTTCTGTTTAGTTGTGAAAACTATTAAAAAAAAACATGGCCTATTTTCATATCATTTTTCAAAATTTTGAATTGATAGTAAAAATATAACGACTTTAAAAAAATAGTAAAAATAAAAAGTATGTTTTAAATGCATCATATTTTCATCGTCATTCTCCAAGCCTTGTTTTTATTTCTAAACAACTATACATGTATTTAAATGTAAACATATATGAATTTAAAAAATGAAAATTCAAAACAATTTCTCATCCCTCTCTCTCTATCTCTCTCTCTCTGTCTCAACGTTAGCAAATATTGCAACGTAACCATATAAATAAGGAGGAAGCTTAAGTATCATCTTACCTGAACATTATCATAAAGCTCAAACAGGGGAACAGCAAGCAGCTTCAAGTTTCTTGGTACAGCAAAGTACTCCTTTTCAGACAAGTGAACAATGAAAAGTTTCTTGCACTCCTGGATCATAAATGACAACTTAAGAAATCACTCAAATACAAAATGAACCTTTCATAATAAAAAGTCACAATAAACATTGCACCTTGGGTTTTGTGATGTGAGGAGGGCAGTATGGGTACATAATAGTCTCAAAGTTTGGCCTCCACCAGATTGCCACACATTCGCCAATCTACATCAAAATGCAATAGTTAAGAAAAGTAGATTATCCAGCACCATGAAGTAATTGTTGTATGTTAATGAATCATTGATGTGAGCATGGATGACATAAGCCATCCCAAACACAGTTCAAACAATTCAAATCAAGGAGGGAAAGATATGGGCGGCCAAGAGAAGAAAGCATACGACAAGAACCACTCGAGAGAAGATATGCAGCCAAGGAAGAGCAAGGCAAGATCCTAGTAATTTGGATGGACTTGGATCACTTGGCAAGAATATTATTACGCCAACTGGGCCCATTCCAAGAGGAAGAGCTAAAAGACTCCAATAAGTCTTTCAACTCTTTATTTAAGAATGGTTAAGTGAGAAAGAAGAGCTTGGATCAAGCAAGGAAGCCCATAGGAGGAAGGAAGCAAGCTCATTAGGCCAAGGGTATAACGTTACATGCATCCTAATGCAAATGGAAGAGGAAACCATGAGAAAAAGGGAAGGAAATCTTCCCATGTAGGAGGAATGTTCCCAATCCGAGGAGGACTCTCTCCCAAATGGGAATTTTCCTCTTTTCTTTCCCCACATCTTCCTAAAACTACAACCAATCTATCCATTCAATGAAGAAATCTTTTCAACCCAAGGGGATTGCCCTCCCAAAGGGAAATTTTCCTCTTCTTTCACAAATGTCTCCTTAAAACCGTAAGGATTCCATCCCTTAAAGAAAGAATCAGCCACCACTCCAAGATCTTCTCTTAAACCGATCATGACCTCAAGAAAAAGGGAAACTAAATTCCATGCCTTAATAGGAGCCTAAATCTCACGGATTTAAGAAGATATCAACTACAATTAATCCTTTCCCAAACCATAATCATCCTTAATTCTTTCCTCAATCACCTTCACAATTAATGAAAATCTTCACCACTTAAGAAGTTTCCATAAAGGAATGACATATCTACAATATTATAATTATAATTTTCCTAATTTTAATTTTATTCCTATTCTAGTTTTTTATTTACTTTTCTATGTAATTTACTACAATTAATTTAGTAGATTTATTTTTTTATATTTTACGTGGCCTACAACTACAAATAGATTTTTAACTCATGATTGTAATCAATCAAGCTCAAAGTAATAAAATATAAAGTTCTTTTAAGCTTTCAATGGGTGAGGTATTCTTTATTCTTCTCGTTGAGCGAGAAATTGGATCAACTTATCAAAGTAATCTTGTGGTGTTTTTTCAATTTTTTAATTTTTCCAATACCTTAGTTCCCGTCACTCATGAGAGCAGGTTAATTTGATGGATTTACTAGAAATTTAAGCCTGATACTATTTGCGAATGTGGGGATTTTGGATTGCA